CTTCTACTTCATTTATTTTTTTAAAATTATGTATTAAAATTTTAATTACTATTATTAATGTTCTTATATAAAACATTTAATAAAGTATAAATAGATATTTTTTAAGAATTTAACGTTTTAAATAACATTATTTATAAATAAATTAATTAACTATGGTTTATATTATGATTTAGAGAGAGTAACACGATCATCTATTGGGAGGAGTAAGCTTTAAGAATTAACAGCCGACTTCTTGACATGAACTACTCGGATAACTTCCTTTATTGAAAAGTTATGACTCTGCGCAGCTCGATTCCTTATTCCTCTTTCCTGAATGGGAATTCGAAAATATCACGAATAGATATTCAGTATATACTGGATGGCAAAACTATTTTGCCTTCTTAAATGGTTAATTCAATCGAACAACAGAATTCTAAACTCAAAATAAGTCAAATACACCTCAACAAGCTGCTCTTTAATATGTGTTTTTGGTTGAGGGGAGGAAAAATGCTCCATCATTTGGTTAAAAAATCATTGCCCATGTATGAAATGAATGAACTGGATCTATTTCACTCTCTAGACTTTCATCGCTGCCTGCGCTCTCACTGTGCCTCAGGACTGACATTTTTTTTCTCTTTGCCACTTACCCCATTTGATTCCCACAAGACACCAGTATTGAGCTTATGTTCTGTTGTTGCATGCTTTTTGTCATGTTTATGATTCCTTATGCAAATTTTTTTTCTTGAAGATGGTTTTCTGGCTAAATTGCTTTGTGAACTCGGTCATTTGTTAAGATTCATCATCCAAAAAGTTCTTTTCTTGCCCTGTATGTATACCACTATTGTCATAGCTGCAGTTCCACTCGGAGTTGTTAGCGAGGCTCATCAAATAATAACCTTTTTGGAGGACGAGGTTTAATTAAAAAAAAAAATAGATACGAAGTGAGTTAAAAAAAAAAAATACTATTCTAAAACTGGTTTATATGAGAAAAAGTAAAAATAAAATAAAATTTAGCATGTAAGGACATAATAATAAATTAATTATTACCTCTCCTTTCCTCTCCTCTTGAAAAACCAAAAAATCATTTTTAGACCTCTCCTCTCTCCTCCAACTAAACACAACCTTACACTGATGAAATAGACATAATCCAACACTTAATTGAGTCAATGTCCAACACAGTCACGCTTACCTCGTATTTCAGCAAACCAACAAGAGCGCAAGGACGGAATATAAAAGAGTCATCAAACAAGTTACAAATGCTTCAGCTGAATTGAACTCTATTGTCTTCATTATTTTTCAATTAACAACTCCCCTTATTAATAGGGACTTGCAACAAATTTCAGGTATCAGAATGAATACAAGATTATACGTGTATAACAAATAAAAAATGGTAAGTTGAACATCTACTTTTGATCCCCAATATTAGCTAAAAAGAATCTGCAAAATGGGAATCCGGATTCTGACCACGGAGATAAAGAATAGAGTAACTTGTTTGACAAAAGAATGGATTAATTCGGAAAACGAATTTGGCAGAGAACGCCTACTTTATGAATTATGATCCTTGGTTTGACCAGGACAACGCCTTTCTGAGTTGTAAAAGCCACAAGGCTACCTGCATTCCCCAGAGCCTCCCTTCCAGCAAAATGCCATCCAATATAACACTCAACCAAGTTAAAAGGGATTTGCTTTGCGACATCTTTGCCTCGATAACAGCCTTCGAAGAAACCTTACCAATGATATAAAATGTCTCCAAAGAAGATCCCTGCAACTGAACAAGATGGCCAAAGAAAACAAGAATATCAATGTGTTTATCATAGAAAACAGAAACAGCTACTCCACTACATCGGAAATAGATGATGTACATTCTTCTTTTTAACTAAAAATATAAATCCCTTAGAATATAATTGCAGTTTTGAAGTGATTTTCTAGTATCAATTATCACCTTTTTTTTTTTTAATATCAAAGGGGGAATAAAAAAGAGGTACAAATTATTAGCCTAAGAATGATCACCTTACATTTTGTTTTAACCGAAAAAAAGAAAAAGCTGGAAGTGGTATATTTGAAAATTTTCACGCGATTTTAGAGAACCATTAAGATGACAAAAAAATCAATAGAAGCTAACTTGAGCAAGCCGTTCGAGTTCACTACATGCTCAACATTAGCATTGTTGCTAATATTGGAGAAAATTAATTAAGATTGTGTCAATCAACAAAATGAAGGAACTTGGCAATGTTTCATACGACGCCGTTTCATATAATCTCTTTAATCAATTGCAATCCTTAAAAGACATTCAGATCAGATTTTGTTTTGAGGAGAATTTGGGGAAGTGATAATATATAATCATCAGTACCATGGCTGTCTTGGCATATGGCCAGTATGGAATAAGGATTTTACTTCATTCCATGCTAATGTTAGGTAAATTAGTATAAATAAACAAATGAACAGAAAAAATCAATTCAAGGAAGGTAATATCCAAAGTTTAGAAAATAATGAAATTACTTTTTCAAGTATATGGTAGCCAAAACTATACAACAAGAATTCTCATTTGCGTTGGAGGTGGTGGTGGAAGTGGCTCATTAGCAGGGGAGATAGTTGAAATTGTGTCTGATTTTATGAAATGGAAATTTCATTCAAGTTACCAGTCCCTCATTTGAGGGAATTCACATTTCCAAGGGAATAATAATTCACTCACCCCCTTTCCTGGGTTGTTAAAAATTAAAAAAAAACATACTCCTCACTCATTCCCATTCCCACCATCCTTATTTACTCAGCCAAAAACATCCTAAGGTCGCATTAGTTAATGAAGTAGAGTGCGGACAGAGTTAGAATAATCTGTACCAGAGAATTGTTGACTGCACGTAAACAGTCATTTGTCTTCAGCATTAACAGAATTACACGTGGTAATCTCCTCAGAAGCTCTGAGATTTGAGAGAAATACTGAGAAGCATACATCTGCAAAAGAAATTAGCACGGTCATCTCAACGTTTTATTTCATTCTACACTAGACACACAAGGGTAATCATTTTCGAATGCTAATAATTCACCACACCATCAAAGTAACTCAACCTTGCTCTACTTGCACCTAATTATTACAAGCTCTAAACCTATGAAACACTTGTGGCACAATCACACATGCACACGTGAACCGCTGAACTTTACTATAACAGAGCAATTCAAGGACGGGTTCAGCTGCAGGACACAGAATATCATACAATACAATAGAACACTCTTTTCCTATCGAAACCCAGCATGATCAAAGTTCTGACACGGCCACAAAGTTAAAGACAAAATAATAGATTTCAGGTAACAAATTTTAGAACAACATGCTGAGAAACTTGTCTGATACTCAAGAATAACTCTTACATAGCGGAAGTGTTAGCATCAAGAGTTCATCATCATTGAAGAGTCTTACAGTTTTCATGGATCTTTATCTCTATGGGTATGTTTAGATAGAAGGTAATGGAATGAAAGTGCTGGGTAGAGAAAAAAAATTTATTTGGAGATTTTCTTTTGTTTTGAAAATGAACACTTTGTCCTTTTTATTCATTCTTTCCATCCAAACATATTTTAGGAGGAAAATATATTTATACTGGGTTAAAGAGCATCTCATTGATCTGAGTACTATATACGAGAGGTAGTTATATATACAATAACTATCCTAGATTGGAGATAACGTAGTCCTAAACTATGCCAAAAAATCAGCCTAAAATATGGTCCTTATAAGGATTTGATCCTTTGGCTGTTTACAATAAAGAATATCTAATGCTAATATCATAACAATGTGGGTGTAACATATTCGATTTAAATCTAACCAGAGAAAATATTTACTTGATAAATTCTGATCATTTCCCTTCCCTTCCCTTTCCTTCCTCTTCATTCTCCTGAACCCAAACATACCCTTGGAGCTCATCTTATATTTTTGAAATAAAGGAATGTACAAGAACTGGAGAGTGTATTTTTCTTCAATACCTCTCTTCTCATCTTCTGCCAACAATACCTTCTTTGCTTTCACCCAGGACATGTTTGGTACAAAAATGAAAAAGTGTAAAACAGAAAATGGATTTGAATTTTTTTAAAAAAAAAATCATGAACGAAAATCACCATCATACCCCTACTTTTAAAAGGTTAGAAAAAACAGACATTATTAAATAATGACAATTAAAGTATAATATACAGTATGCGAAGAGGATAGAAAGGGACTTCATTTTCATCCATAGAACCAAACATACCATAAATTTCAGAACAGTATTAACCTTAGGCTGATAAAAACCGAAAGATATAAGAGATTGCCTTTAAAGCAGAGCTCACCTGCAATTCTGATATCTCGCTCTCACTTCCCTTTATCACTAAATGATCCACAGATTGGTCAACAACTCTATTCCATGGTCTCATGGTTAGAACTCCTGCAAATAGTGCATATAAATCCTCTCCAGCACCCAATTTAGCACTATACTCCTTTATCCCCCTAGCATCAGCAAATACCAATGCCTGTACCATAGGAGAAAATGAAGGAGATGCAATCAACAATCTCAAATGAGATATATCAGAGCAAATATGAAAAATAAGTAATGTACCTTCCACAGGGAAGCATAATTAATTCTTGTATGGAAATCGAGCTCTTTATAAAGTCCATGGTCTAAAAGAATCAACTGTGGTTTCCTCTTGCCTATATATGAGAATTGAGATAAGAAATAAATGAGAAACTTTGACCCAAAAAAAATGGAAATAAAAAATTATCCATCAAGCTATGACACACATGGACACCCACATCTCAAATTTCAATCATAATCTCAAGAAGGCAGCAAGGAGATAGCATTCATCTGGAAGAACTACAGTGCATGTCTTTCCCGTTTCTCATAAAATCACCATCACCAGTATGGACACATTCTACTGATTATCATTTACATCAATTACATTCAATTTCTCAAGTTCCTGCTGTTCTGGTATCTTGGCACTACCATTTCTACGTGTTTACACCAACAAAGCATGCTGTTCGAATAATGACAGGGTTTTACACTTTGTCATTAAGTGGCTCCCAGATGTTACATTCATTTGTGGGGAATTGTTAGAGCATACTCAGATCCCAAATCTTGCAACCACAGTTGTACAAAGACTTCGAGTTTGGCTAGGGGACAAATCCTTACCCAGGATGTTCAGTCTGCTAGAAGGCCATGGACGAACCAATAGGTTAGCAGCATGAGGATCACAATGCACAAATCCATGCTTGAACATCATTTCAGCAAAAGTTTGACTGACCTGCATAGACAATTATCACATTTTACTAAATTATTTTGGTCACAGATATATAATTTAGAAATTGCATATCATATACAATAATAATAAAAAGTTCCTCATTTAACCAACAAACTTTGTCGAATCATACTTTTAGTTTACATATTATATCCAATCCAAGATGTCATAGCACAAAATAATAATCTGTTAGAACAAACCTCCCAAAAACTACCACCTATCCATCATTTCATTGCAAAGCCATACATGATCTACCATGGTATATACTCCAAAACTGAAGCATAGCTGACAATGGGTAAGTAGGATTCCCAATACAAGTCATTCTTGAAACAAGTAGCTCAAGGATCTATAACAAAGCCCACATACAAGAACTTATTGAGCAGGACCAGAAGATGATTATCAAATCTGTTTATTTGAAGAATCGAAACATAATTCTCAATGGATTGGTAGAAACAACACTGTTACTCAAATCAGCATATAGTGGAGAGATTTTAGGGAGAGAATTATCGAACAACAACTGAAAAATAAATCTAACAATCTGGATAGGATCAGGAAATAAAGAAAATATTGAATAATTAAATTCTAAATAATCCAAATCTTCTACAGTCGACAAGAATCATATCTCATCAGCACTTACCAATGTTGAAACATCATGTGGACGGATCCCGAGTCTTCTAATGGTCTTTACATCATTTATTTGGGCACCATCCATGAATTCCATCGTTAGCAACTTTGAAGTGCTTAGATTCCAATAAACTTTTGGTGCATATATATAGTTTGCAATATGAGGAGAAAACCTCTGGAAGTTCTCCAAACATTTCTCACTATTCTTTGCCTCAGTCAAAAAGTTCAATTCCTGGAAGCCAAAACATCAATTAGACAGATCAGAAATCATTTGGTGAAAATAGCAAATGAGAGAAAGGGGGAGGGGGGAAGGCTATGCTAACAGCAAAACCACATGGCACTAGAATGCACACATTTAAATAATTTGGCATCAAAATGTAAACAGGCCACAACAAAGGCACTGAAGTGTATTTGCCTATGAATTAGAAATTCAAAATAGGATTACTCAGGTTTATTACAGTTCAGGAAAACAATCATCAAGTAAGTTGTTTTTGCCTATTTACACATAACTTTGCCCTTTTATTAGGAACAATTGATAATTGAATACTGTTGAATACAACAAAATTGTAATAAGAGTCTTTTACCATCAAAAGCTGGCTCATTTAGTATGATGAAGCCTTGTCCAAAAGGTTTCAATTCAATTCCAATTGGTGTTAGTTGGTAGGCATCCAACATTTGCAATGCTCACTTCCTTAGAGTTCGAAAAGCCTATATAACTTCAATTTTACCACACCAAAACAAAAATTATTGATGTTCTTTCACCCACATCTTATTTTTCTCTCCTCAAATCCTCTTCCCTTCACAATTTTTTGTGTTTGTCCCGCATCATTATATTAAATGATATATGCATTATGAAATCAATTTAACACCCACACAGGCACATGTTTTTGTTCCATGTTTGGCCGGAAAAACACAGCAGCAGCAACGACATTAGTTAACACAAAAAAGTTTATCAACCATTATGCAAGAGTCATCAAAATGCATGTGCTGACAGATTTATACTTTTAATAGGCCCAGACATTTTTTGCAGTTAGCAACTCACCTTGGGTAAACTTTCCCGTATTTCATCAACCAGCCATCTGAAGACAGAAGTCAAAAGAACTGTAGCATCAATGGAATTGCAAGGCAGCATAGTAGAAGGAAGATACATAAGGCTTAATAATTATTGTTCAGAAAACTTATATTGCTCAGTTCCTCTAATACTCCCTCCGTAGGAAAAAAATTGTGGAAGGTGATTTGTCTCTATTCATAAGACAAATTACAAAATTTGAGGAGTATTCAATTTAATATTGTTCCCAACATGTCCCTATTGAACGTATAAAATGACTTGCTATAAATGTTGTCTTCCCCATTAAAGGTTAGCGAATAAAGTGGGCTTTTATATAAGGGTAGAATTGCAAAAATGGAAGTAGGTTTAAGACATGAATTAGTTAAGTTAGTTTAACTAGTATGTAAGAATTAGGTAATTTTGTCATTTAAATAGAAGCGGAGGTACAGGCATCCATCAGTTATGATAAGCATGTTGCTGACCCAGATGGCTCCTAAATTTCCCAATCATTAACTTGGTTAATCTCAAACAGGTAAAAGCATTGCAATTGCAATAGTACCTATAATCAAAACTGGGGAAAATCCTATGCAAAGTGTTCACAATAAATTCCACAATGGCATGATCTGCGGCCGCAGTATCAGTCATGTGAGTATGTTGAACCTGGATATCAACAAATTCCAAGGACAAGTACAAGAAATTTTCATAAGAAATACTAATGCTTAATTCACAGAAAGAAATTTGATTCAAAATAAATTAATCATTAATAAAACAGAAAAAATCAAAACCTTCACAGCAACTTTTTGCCCATCATGGGTGCGGGCTACATGAACTTGGGCAAGGGAAGCACTTGCCATTGGAACTGGATCGAATTCAGAAAATATCTGCACATTAGAAGGCTTAATTTAGCCACCACTACAGCAGTATTTCATAACAAATTACAGATAAGCATTAGAAGCACACGGGAATGCCAAATCCTTCCAGTTAAAATGAAGCTTTTGTCAATAGGAAATTAAACATACTGTATCAGGTGTTTCTCCAAGTTCTTTCTTAAAGACCTCGCATACTTGATCATATGAAGAAACTGGACATTTATTCAACATTGACTCCCTCATTGTCTGAACATATTCTTGAGGAATTAAGTATTCCTGTCAAGAGTCAAGAACATGCATGAGATTTAAAGAAGAATTAAGTATTCTTGTCTGAAAATAAATCAGACTTGCATTTTATCCATAAGATTAAAAGAGGAAACCAACACACCAACTGCCCAATATGTTGGCCAAGCTTTATATAAATCCCTCCGTTCTTAAAACACAGCTCTTGAAGTTTACGTGCAGAGCGGAGGTGAACTTCGTGCTTGACTGCTGACCGCTCATTACTTCCTTCCGGCAGTCCCCACAGGGAATATTCATAATCTAATGAAATACAAGAAGAAAACCAGCTTAAGCCCAGCTCCGTTTACAAAGAAATGTATATATAATAACTTCGAGATTATCCTTGATCAATAAGGCGCATATAGACAAATGATCACATCCGTGTGTGTGTGTATGGCAAATGTAGTCCAGTCTATATCACGGTATCACCAAACCCAATGTAAACAGTCTTACTCGAATAACAAACTTGAGCCGTTGAATTGGTTTCACCAGAGGTAAATTTTATACAAGTATTTTCCAAATTAGAACCTACTCGAGTTCGAAAAGCTATATCTCTTGACCCCTGACCATCCTTCAAATATCCCGCCACCTCACCTCCACTATTCATCAACTAAGGGAAACATTTAAACTCAAATGAATCTATGACAAGAAGCAAGTACCAAAAAAAAAAATCACAAACTACAATATCACGGTGACGCAAATCTCCAATTATGGAAGTTCGGAGATATCAAGGTTACCGAAAGCAATGTTGGCAGCGGTGATGGCGTCGCGGATGAGGCGAGGGGGGACGGTGGTGCATAGCTTGAGGGCAGTCTCGGGGTCATCGGAGGTGGCTATGGCGGCAGCGGCGGCACCGCCGCCAATGGCGGAGGCAAACAGAGCAAGCCTTGTCCAGCGCGCCATAAAGATAGTGGGGCCATCCTTTAGAAACTAGTCGCAGCTCTCAGCCTCGGAGCAACGCAACGAGGCAAGGCCAAAGCTAATCACTTAAGTTGATTTTTTTTTTTTTTCGAGAATCTTCTTCTCTCTGGTGCCAAAGTCATTTGCCAGTCAACGAGTTAGAAAGGAAAGGATAATTAGCCAAGAAAATATAACCTAAAAAGAGACAGGAAAAATATAATAAAATTTCATCAAAATATATAAATAATAATTAATTTTTTTAAATGTCATAATTTTTTTAAGTTTTAAAATAAATGATTAAATTAATCCTTCGGTCTTAAATTTTAGGACATTTTTAAATTAGTTTCTCTATCTCAAAGCATAAAACACTTTAAGTATATTGAGATTTTATTAAATGCATCAATTTTAATATTACTCTTTCTTTTTCTATAATTAATTTTCATCTCTTCTCTTTTTAATATATTAAATGATGAGTATTTTTAAAAGTTTATATTTTTATTTTAGAAAGATAAGATTGTTAAATGAATTTAATAAAATTAATTAGTATGTAAAATTTTATCTAAAAGTATTTTATAATTTGAGATAGAGAAAGTATTTTTTATTTAAAATAAAAATAATAGGTTTGGCTTTATTTTTTCAATTGTAATTTTTATTTAAATAATTACAACTTTTATTATGTGAATAGTAAAATTAAATAAGAAATTATAACTTTTCACATGAAATTTTTTTTATCATTAGAGTCCAAATTTTAAAAATAACTAATATCAATCACAATTTTTATTTGAATAATCACAACTATGCTTTCATGAATCACAAAAATTAAATAAAAAATCACAAATTCTCATATAAAATCTTTTTTATTATTAAAATTGAAGTTTTAAAAATAATCAATTACATATTTTATTTAAACAACCGCAACTTTTATTATATAAATGACAATAATTAAACAAAAAAATTACAATTTTTCATATAAAATTTATTTTATTATTGTCTAAGTTATAAATATAATCAATTATAATTTTTGTTCAAGTAATTATAATTTTTATTATGTAAATTGCAAAGAATTGAACAAGAAGTGACATATTCCACATAAAATTTCTTTTATCATTAAAATTTAAATTATAAAAATAATTAGTTATAATTTTTATTTAAACAATTACAATTTTTTTATGAATTGCAAAAATTAAACAAAAATCATAACTTCTCATGTGAACTCATTATGCTTTTATTTTATAGAAGGGACAATTTATTCATTTAACTTAAAATTATTAATGTCAGAAAAATATTTAGAAATTTTAAAAAAATTATAATATTTCAAAAGACATAATTATTATTTATATATTTTGGTAAAATTTTATTATTATTTTTCCCAATGTCTATGTCTAGCTGGGTTGTTCCTCAATCATGGGCTGAAAGTGGGCTCAATGTTAGTGTTGGGCTCTCAATTGTTACTCAATCATGGGCTGAATGTGGGCTCAATGTTATTGTTGGGCTCTCAATATTCATATGTTTAATGCTTAAAAATAAACTTTTCTCAACAACGCTTGGCCAATCAAATAACCATATCAATAGGACTAATTTTTAATAACATGATGAATTAATTTTCAAATCTTTGATGTGAGAAATATTCATATTTAATGTTCGACCATACTTCAAATAGAATTTTCCTCCAATAGGAATGTGTATAGCAAAAAAATTAATCATATAAAAAGAACTCTTCATAGATTATGTATAATACAATTCATTTCTTATGATGGTTTTTCTTAATTTTGGATTTATAATCTCATGTTAAAAATTCATATTTAAAATTATTTATTTGAGTAGTATAACAATATTGATAAAACGAGTTATTAAGTATATCAAGCACTGTAATTTGTCCATATGTCTGGACAACATTGAACGAGAATGATTGAGATTTGAATAATTAAATTAAATTAGGTTTTTATTTGTTTTTGGCGAAAAAGGGCATAACCCATACTTATTCATTAATCAAGACCTCTTTTGGTTAAGGAACACCCAAGAAATTAGTATATAACAAATCTTTCAAATCAAATGAAGGCATTATAAATCTAACAATATTAAAATCAAAATTAAAACTATAGCTAGCTAGCCAATCTACACACTTATTTCCTTCCCTATAAATATGTTGAAAACGTACCTTCTTAAACCAAACACATTCGTTCAAAATCACTCTAACAAGTACTCTACTATCATCTGAATCCTCCTCCTACTCCTTTCTTAGCAAGCTTATCACAAATTAGGAATCTCCTTCAACTATAAGGTTATCAATTCCAAACTCTTCTACCAACCTCAATCCCTACAAAGCAACCTATGGTTTAGCATTAAATGCCTAAACTCCCCTAACTTCTTCACAAATCCATTAACTCGTTCTCCCTTGACATCTTTTAATACACCACCACGCCTAGCTATCATAGCTTTCCACTTTGCAGCTCCATCAAAATTAGCTTACACCATCTAAAGTCAAGAGGTTCACATTTAACATCTACACTCACCTTCTTTTTTTGTAATAAATTCAAACTTGGCTTCAAATTAACCAACTCCCACATATATCACTTGATAACCCTACAAGTATCTCCCTTTAAGATGAAACCTCCCTCAAACATCATCTTGTTCTTCTAATTTTGTTGCCGCTAACATGTTACAACAAACAATCTACCTTAATCAATACTTTTATTCAAGTTAGAGCAAATCAATTATGGCGATTCAAATAAAAAAATATTATCTACTTCTAAACACAGTAAATATATCCAAATTTGGATACTACTTCATAGTCACATAAGGCATGCAATAAGTCTCCTTCACCCTCACCACATCCACAACAAACAACCTCACAACCTATCAATTTAGCTTTCCTGACTGAAATAAAATGTCTATCATGAAAAGCTAACCAAATAAATACTTGAACCCTTCTTGGCCCGTTCTAAGCCCATATCTTCCTCTACAACCTATCTTTTTGTGATACACCTATCCCAACTAACTTCCAATACATATTTGAGACACAATACGCATTCCTACCCTAGTCACGCCACGCCACGCTACCTGATCCGATCACTCCCAAACTCAAGTGTAAACCTAGTTAAATTGGGTATTTAAATTTTAAAGGAATTGTAATAAATAATTTATTAAAATAATAAAATTTTATAAATCTAAATCTGGAATAAAATATAAATCCCCACTAATTTAGATATAGCATAAATTATTATAAAATGCACAGGCTGCATCTAATTAAGCATAAAAAATTAGAATGAATGTAAAATGTGTATTTGAAATGAATAAAATTGATTCTTAAAATGAATGGAAAAACCTCTTAATAAAAGAAAAATACAATGTTTATTTTAAATAATGGCAAGAAGCAGTTTGTTGTTTGGTGGGATTTTTTCTTTTCCTTAACAAGCCTCTATTCTATAGAATGTGATACTCAGGCTATCTTCCTTATCGAGCTATCATGTTTCCTCCATTTGACATGCAAACTAGTTCAAAGAATCAAACTAATATTTCTATGCCTGGCTTATTAGTTGTATTAAAAATTATGAAGGAAAAAAGATAGTATAAAAATGAGTTATTTCTAGGATAACATTTAAAAAAAAATGGTGTGAGCATTTGTTGAGAGTTAGGCATTATACTAGGCTAGTTATTTTCCAGGCCTATGACCCTGTATATATGCTACTTTCTTGATTTCTTTCTTGTTTCCTTTGTTTTGTGTTTTTGCCTATTTAAGGAATGTTTCATAGCTAGATGAATACAGTTTTGATATATGGGTCATTTGTTCCCATATTAGTTATGTAAGTTTCAGTGCATAGGGGTTTATCTAAAAAGATGAAGTATTATTTAGTTATTATGCATTTCAATATGTTACTAAAGCCAGGTCACAACCCTGACCTGATTCGTTTCTTCATCAAACCCTAAAACTCACAAGTTCTTGATTCTCATTTCATCAATTCTTTTGCCATTGTGCTTAGCTACCTCTCGATCTATCATCCACTACTTTATTGACCATAGTTATTACCTTAGACCTGGCATCTTCTTAAGAAACTTGCCCTTTTGTTTTCCTCTGCCTTTGTGCTCATCTCCTTCACAATTTATTATTCATCTCTTTTCTCAATTTTGATCGCTCTCTCAAGATTCATCATGACAGAAATTGAAACCCCTTGATCCTCCACTCTCGCATTCAATTTAAACCACCCACTCTACCTTCATTCATTGAACACTCAAGCCTTAACCCTTATAGTTCAACCACTCATCAGAAGTACTAATTACACCATTTGGAACTACGTCATAAGGATGGATGGATCTAAGAATAAGATCGATCTAGTAGATGGATCTTGCAAGCAAGAATTTTACAGTAAAGCATTTCATAGCCAATAAGAATGATGCAATATAGTCGTCATCTCTTAGCTTATTAACTCAGTTTCCAAGGAGATCGCGCTAGGATCATGTTTTTTAAAAATGCACAAGAAGTTTAGAACAACCTACACGAACACTTTGATGTCACTAACGGGACTAAGATCTACAACCTTTACTGTCTTATCAACACTTTCAATTAAGGAGGTTTATCAGTCTCAAGTTATTTCACCAAGCTGAAGGAACTTTAGGAAGAAAACTTTGTAGTTGTTCCTGTACTTGCCTATAAGCTTTGCCTACCTGTAAGTCAATCTCATTTTCATGCATGCGTGAGCATTTGAATCACTTCAATCAAATATCGGATGTGAAAATGGCACATATTAAAAGTTTACCTTGAAAAGTTATCATGACAGCAAAATGCCATTATGAACTGGCACGTGTGCCATGATGTACAGTACAGCAGTGGAATTAAGCTCTCTATGCCACAGGCATATGGATTACATGCCGTGGCACAAGTGTCAAAATATGCAAAAATGACATTTTGGCCCTATTCTTAGGTATTTTGTTTTCCAAACTTTTTCATGTTTCCCATGTGTTTAAAAATTATTAAGTTTAAGCTCAAACTTTATATTTAAAAGGTTTTTTAAATCCCAAATAT